CAACCAACCATCCTTCCATCATCCAACCAACCAACCATCCTTCCATCCATCCATCCATCCATCCATCCAACCTTCCATCCAACCAACCAACCATCCAACCATCCATCCAACCAACCAACCATCCATCCATCCATCCATCCATCCTTCCATCATCCAACCAACCATCCATCCTTTCATCCAACCATCCACCCAACCATCCATCCATCCACCCATCCATCCAATCAGAGGAAGTTTGTATACATGTTTAATGGCAGCTCAATAAGCACACTGACAGATTTCCCGCCAATCACAGAGCGTCAGGAAGTGAACAGCCATGTGGTGAGGGTCAAAGAAGAAGAAGAGCCAATGGAAGTCGACACAATGGTTGCCTCTGACCTCGTCCAGGATCGACCAATCCCAAAAGAGATACCCTCACCTTCCCTAAAGATGGCGAGCCACCACGTCTTCAGCATTAAAACAGAAGACCAGGGTCTCCGTGGCAAAAAGGTGGCGGAGCAGCTGCACCCTGGAGCCAAGATGGCGGACCAGCGTCTGCATGGCCTTAAGATAGAAGACACGTTTTACACCGGAGGCTGCCAGCCTGGATCAAAGACGGCACACGGCGTCGTATCCGGAGCCAACACGTTACAGTTCAGGGTGAAAATGGAGGATCGGGGCGTCTCTGGAGCCAAGATGGCGGACCAGCTTCTCTTTAAAGCCAAAATTGCAGAGCGGCCTTTCTCCGCCGCCAAGATGAGCAACAAGTTCCTCTCTGGATTCAAGATAGAGGACCAGTTTGCTTCAGGAGCCAAGATGGAGAACCAGCTTCTCTTCGGAACCAAAATGGAGAACCGGCTTCTTCCCAGGGCCATGGTGACGGACGGCGTTTTCTCAGGAGTGAAGGCGGAAGAGCAGCTCTTCTTCGGAGCCAAGATGGAGGACCAGTTCTCCCCCGGAGCCAAGATGGCCGACCAGTGCCTCAGAGCTGTGCTGTGGCAGGACATGTCGGTGAACCTGGCGTCCACGCTGCTGCACCAGCTCTCAGGTAGAAACACTTTATACTACTGCTGTACCTGTACTCTTAATGATGTACATTTACTACAGTACTGCACTACTACTGAGATTTAAACAGCCACTAAATAATTCATATTTAAAATTTAAACCATGAATCTGAATGTATTCATTTCTCAATTCACCACTTTGAAATTAAAATGTGAAAGTTCTTGGTTTGCAATTTCAAAAAGCTGAATTTCAATCTGCATAATGAGCACTTCAGGTACTTTAAGTGTATTTCGATGCTGATTAAATACCAGAAAATAAATAAAATACACATTCATGTTACATATTTCATACATACAGTAAATAAACCAGCTGCATACAAACTTGTACTTACAAGCGTAAGATATATAATTAAACGTTCTCCTTCTTCCTGCAGAGAGAGTCAGTAAATCCAACAGTCGGCCGGACGAGAGGTTGACTCCGCTCATCAGGAGCAGGTGACGCTTCACTTCCTGTCGTCCGTCGGTGATGTCACGGGGACTATTTGACCTCTGACCTGCTTTGTTTTGACTAAGTGTTTATGTGTGTGTGTGTGTGTGTTTCCCCTTTTCTACAGTCCTGTCCTGAAGGTGAATGTGGACACACTCCGCTCCTCGCCTCTCTTGAGCTCCCAAGAACCTCCTCATGGTAACACACACACACACACACACACACACACACACACACACACAGACTTTCCACGTTTGCTTGTCAGCCTCAGTGTAATATGCTCTGTCAGTCAGAGCGGAGGGATTAAAGGACACCAACACTGAACCTCTGAGTTTACCTCACCTCTCTCATCTCCTTGTCTCCTCTCCTTCCTCCTCCCCTCTCTCCACCTCTCCTCTCCTTGTCTCTTCCTCTTCTATCCCTCCTCTCCTCCTGTCCTCTTCTTGTCCCCTCTCTCCTCTTCTCCTCTCCTCTCTCCTTGGTTTCCTCCTTCATGTCTCTGAGCTCCTCTTTAAACCTGCTGAGGTGACTAAATCACCCTTCAGTGTTTAATCATTGTTATTATCTCTTTCTAATGACTTCCCTGCACAGTTTGTGTGCGTGTTGTGGAGTCATGCTGCCACCAGATTACCCTTTGTGTTGATAATAAAGAAGGAACTGAAGTGAACTGAGGAGTTTACCAATAATACCTTCCAGAGGGACTCTCCATTAGGAGACAAATACATCTCATGATTACTACTACTATTATTATTATTATTATTATTATTATTATAACAATAAACTTTATTGTTTTGTTCTCACAGAAACCAAAACCAGCCTCAGCAGAGATCAAACCACCGGTTGCTCTTATTTCTACAGGTAAGGAAACACACAGGTGTGTTCTGCTATACCTGTGAGGACCCTCAGTGACATACTGGATATGTCACTGAGGGTTCTACAGGTAAGGAAACACACAGGTGTGTTCTGCTATACCTGTGAGGACCCTCAGTGACATACTGGATATGTCCTCACAGAGATAGAAGAACACTCACACACTTTGAATACACAATACTCATACACACAATTATTTATTGTGAAATACCTTTTTAGTCTGGCTTTAAATTAAGGTTTATTTTGACTGACTGTTTCCAGTCTTTATGCTAAGCTAAGCTAACCAACCCTCCAGGTGTCACGTGTGTGGCTTCGAGACGGATGGCCGCGGCCTCTTCCAGAGTCACATGACGGACCACCGCCAATGGGAGCGCGGCTCCTTCTCGCTGCACTGCTGCGTGTGCGACCACTCGACCAATCATGAGGCAGAGATGAGGGCTCACGCCAACACGCACGTACGGGGGAGCACGGGAGCCGACGGAGAGATGAGGTGTGTGTGAGTGTGTGTGTGGGTGTGAGTGTAGATGTGTGTGTGTAAGTGTAGATGTGTGTGTGTGTGTGAGGCTGTGTGTGTTTGTGTGCGTGTGTAGGTGTGTAGGTGTGTGTGTAGGTGTGTGTGTGTAGGTGTGTGTGCGTGTAGTTGTGAGTGTGTGTGTGTGTGTAGGTGTGTAGGTGTGTAGTTGTGAGTGTGTGTGTGTGTGTAGGTGTGTGTGTGTGTGTGTGTGTGTGTGCGTGTAGGTGTGTGAGTGTGTGCGCGTGAGTGTGTGTGTGTAGGTGTGTGAGTGAGTGTAGGTGTGTGTGTAAGTGTGTGTGTAAGTGTGTGAGTGAGTGTAGGTGTGTGAGTGTAGGTGTGTGTAGGTGTGTGTGTGTGTGTAGGTGTGTGTAGGTGTGTGTGTGAGTGTGTTTGTGTGCGTGTAGGTGTGTAGTCGTGTGTAGGTGTGTGTGTTTGTGTGTGTTTAGGTTTGTGTGTGTAGGTGTCTGTGTGTGAGTTTGTGTGTCTGTCTGTGTATATATATGTGTGTGTGTACATATGTACGTGTGTGTGTGTGTGTGCGTATCATTACCCCCCCCCCCCCCTCCTCCCAGGTGCCCCGTCACCTCTCCCTCCTCCTCCAGCATCGGCTCCCCGTCAGTTGCCGTGGTAACCCACCAGGATGGGGAGGGCTCATCCTCGGAGCACCGCTGCCGCATCTGCCAGAGGTCGTTTCCAGGGCAACAGGAGCTGCTGGTTCACTTCCAGGGTCATCGCCAGGGCAACCAATACCGGTGCGACCGCTGCGGTCACCTGACCCGGACGGCCAATAAGCTGGTGGAGCACGTGCGCGTGCACACAGGAGAGCGCCCGTTCACCTGTGAGCTGTGTCCCTACAGCGCCAAGAGGAGGGACAGTCTGCGCCTCCACTGTAAGGTCAAGCACCCCGCAGACGTGCACACGCACACCTCCTACGTGCACGGAGACAATCAGCGCTCACACACACATGTCCAGAGGCTGCACACGCCCACCAACACACGCACCGCTGCAGTCTCTGCCTCCTCCTGTTCCTCCTCCTCCTCACTTCCTCCTCTTCATCCCTCGCTCTCTGACCGGGCAGGATGGAGGGATTTGTCTCCTCTCCTCCCCATCACGACGCTCATCTCTCTGAAGCCTCGCTCTCCTTCCTCCTGCTCCTCCTCCTCTCCTTCCTCCTCCTCCTCTTCCTCCTCCTCGTCTTCCTCCACCAAACACTCCTTCCTCGGTTACCTTGGTCTGACAACTCCTTTGTAAATGCTTTTTTTCTTTTTTCTCATCTATTCCTCTCCTCTGCCCGTCTCTCTCTCCTCTCCTTTCCTTATCTCCTACTTCCCCCTTCCCCTCCTCCTCCTCCCCTCCCTCCCTCTCCCCCCGCCCTCCTCCTCCTTCTCTCCCCCCATCCTCTGGACTTCTAAAGCTATGGATATAAAGCTCTGTAATGTATCAGACGTACTGTCCACTCCGCCCTCTACTCTCCTTTCCTTCTCTCTTCCTCCCCTCTCTTCTCCTTTGTCCTTGCCCCCCCCATCCTCTGGACTTCTAAAGCTATGGATGTAAAGCTCTGTAATGTATCCTCTCCTCTTCTGTCCATCCTCTTATTTTTACCATGTTCCTTCTCTCCTCTTCTGCTCTCTTCCTTCCCTCTCTACTCTCCTTTCCTCAACTCCCCCCCCCCATCCTCTGGACTTCTGAAGCTATGGATGTAAAGCTCTGTAATGTATCCTCCTCTCTGTCCACTCAGCTCTCTAATGTATGAGAATGTCAATCAGCACCGAACACTCAGATAAGGAACGTTTTGAAATCCCTTTTTATCGTCCTGCTCGTGGTTTTATCTGCATCGCTGCCTGCTGTCATATAGTCACTGATCTATTTAACCCTGTGACATATTTACTGCCTGTCTCTCTCTCGTCCTCCAGAAACACTACAAACACACATTTTACTAAAGACTCAGAGGGTCAGCGGGGTTCATCCTCTGGGGAACATGAACGTCAGGAATAAATCTTAAAATTGCTTTTTATATATATATATATACATATATATATGTATATATATATATATATGTATATATATATTAATTTTAATATCTTAGAAGACTCAGAAAATAAGCAATTATTCACATTTGAGAAGCCGGAAACACTGAAGTTTGGCTTTGATAATAATCGTTTAAAATCAGTTCCTTGTTGAATTATTTTAAATCAGCACATGATTAATATTAAGTTAATCAATCTTTTGTCTCTGAGGTTTTATTTTGAAGGTTTCTGGAGGACGTGATGATATTTCTAATATTTGTGTTGTGTATTGATGTATTTGTGTTTACGCATAACAACATGGAGCTCACGAGAGTCTAGAAATGTCTTAATTTAAAGTTGCACTATATGTAGTTTAGCTGAGTCGGAGAAAAAAGAAGAAGAAAAAGAGTCATTTTAGAATATTTAAGTCTTTTTTTCACAGGTTATTTTATCAAAAAAACGACCCTCTGATCGTCAACCGCTGTGTCAAAAATACACATTTTAATGAGTATTATTTATTATACTACACAGAATAATTAGTGTGCACAATTCAGTAATTCATGCTCTGGATTTAATATCATATTATACTTTTCTTTGCGTTTTTGTTGAGAGCAGAAAACACATTTTTTGCACTTTCAATCTGCCACAAGACTAATTTAATTATTAATGTTTTATTAGTTTGTGTATTACTTTCTTATAATAGCACGATACATCACCTAAAAACCTAAAAAGTGTTTTTTTTTTTAAAGAGTTTTTGTGGGAAACGCTTTATTTTGAAGGGGCAGCTTTGCCTTCGACCTGTGGGATCTTAATAGTGTGAAATCTGGAGCACAACTTATTGAATTATGCACATTAATTAGATTATTTTTCATCTGTGGCATGTAAAGTGTCTTTTTTCCCCAGCATTAAATGTGCATCAAATGCCTCTCAAAGGCCGTTGCTGCCCTCTCTGGTTTTACCCCGCTTCTCTCACGGTGATGTCACAGCGTACAGGAGTACACTGTGACATCACTGCAGCCAGTTGAAGAAGTTCAGCCACAAGAGGTCAAAAAAGAGGGCGTGACGTTGCTCTTTAAAAGTTTTTTCTTTTTGTGTGTGCTTCTACCTCTGCTGCACATTCAGTAGTAGAAGAAGACAAACTGTCAATAATAGTTTAAATATGATCTAATCAATAGTGTATTTTTTACATTTTATTTACAGTTTTCAAAATGAAACACAAAACAACACAGTGAAAATAAGTCAGATTTTTAAATATTTTTCTGTATTTATTACTCGTATTGTTTGATTTTAAATGTGATATATATATACATATATATATATATATATATGTATATATATAGTGATTTATTATTAGCAGCTTATTGTTAATTCTCCACTAGCTTCCTTGGCTAGCTTCCTCACTAAAAAGGGTGAATTTAAACTGCCTTGTAAAACCAATTTGCACATGATAACAAATAAACGTTTAATAAAATCGTTCTTATCGTGCTCTGTTGAAGAGTTATGGGGCGAAATCAAACGCCTTTCAAAGTAAAACTCCCACACACACAGAGAGCAGCCGCGTTGTTTTATTTCGAAAATGTTTCTCCAATCAACGGTGCTGAGAGCTGATTTCTGCCTGCTCGTTATTTACATTTTTTAAAAGTTTTATTTCCACACAGACGCATGAAATAAACAACAACTCCGTCATTGATCATCAGATTGTCTCATGTTCTACTTTTTACAATGTATCCTGTTACTGTTTGCTGCTGCGATGATCAATAAAGTTTGATTCAATCTGACTCACACGTCTTTACTCACATTGTGTAAGATCACGTTAAAGGTGCCAAAGAAAGATCTGACTCACTGTGAGAAGAATACTCGCAGTATTACTCACTTGTACTACCATTTAATACTATGACGTTGTACAATAATGTATAAAAACGCAGAATCAGTAGCTTTAGATAGCATTATCTTCAGAAACAACCAGAGTGCCGTTTCAGAGGATGAATCCTGGATGAAGGTCACCGAACGAGTGGGAGGATGAGTGTCAATCGCCATGGGTACCACCCCCCCTCCTCTGGTGGTTACCACGGTTACTTTGCATGTTGTAGGTCTCCATGGCGGCAAGCAGGAGGTCTGCACGTCAGCGAATCATCATGCAGCGTGAAAACACACATGCACGCCATTAAGGTCAGCATTAGATGTTTGTAAATGGTATTAGAGGGGAGGACGGGAGAGGAGAGAAGGGAGGGAGGAGGAGGGGATGGAGGGAGGACAGGAGGAGGGAGGAGAGGGGAGGAGGGGTGGGGAGGAGAGAAGGGAGGAGAGGAGGGGAGAGGAGAGGAGAGAAGGGAGGGAGGAGGAGCGGATGGAGGGAGGAGAGGAGGGAGGACAGGAGAAGGGAGGAGGGGAGGAGAGAAGGGAGGGAGGAGAAGAGGGGAGAGGAGACAATCACTTTCTTTCTTCTCCTGGTCAAGAGGTCGAGGCCTGAAGGACAACACAGAGAAAAGACGTTCAGTTAAAGGGACAGTGAGCTGAATGTTCAATATATTTATGTATATATATATATACATGTATATATAAACAAAAATATATATGTATAAATCTCCATACATGCTTTGTACATGTACAAAAACAATTATAAAATGATGAAGTTCAGATTAACACCACATGTTTGTACGGTAGAATCAAAAGCCAAGCTTAGCTTAGCATAAGGACTGGAAACAGAAGGAAACAGCTAGCTGGAAACCACAACCAGATTTTCTTCCAAAAACGTAACAACAAAAAGAAAAGAAAACAATTAAAACCAATAAGACATACAGTAAACATATACATAGACAATTGTAACTATATGCTAAACAAATACGTATTATAAAGAAGAAGAAGTAAACACTTAAATTACACAAACTATATATATAGGTACAACGTGTTTATCAGTGAGCTTTAAAGGGGCTTACCTTTAGAAACAGCCAGGTTCACTGTTTTCACTGCTTCTAGTCCTTATGCTAAGCTAGGCTAAACAGCTGCTGGCTGTAGCATTTTAATTATCAAACAGACAGTAGAGAGCGATATATAAAATTGAACAAGATCAGCAAGAAAGCCAAAAAGTTTAGGTCTATTTCCCAAACTAGTCCTTCCCTTCCAATGTCGGTAAGATTCATCCTCTGGGGAACACGAATGTCTGAACCAAATTTCATGGCAATCCATTGAGTAGTTGTTGAGATATTTAATGCTGGACCAATCTAACAAAGCTCAGTTAGATATATGGCGCCCCCTGCTGGTGGAGGTTTAGATACATTAGTGTTAGCCAACACCCAATCTCTCTCTCTCTCTCTCTCTCTCTCTCTCTCTCTCTCTCTCTCTCCGTCTTACTCTCTGCCTCTTAGACCTCTGTAGGACTGGAAATCAATAAGTGTTGTGTGACAGGACGAGATGGAGGGAGGAGAGGAGGGAGGAAGCTCCAAAGAAGGATTGATGGAAGAGAAAGGAAACAAAGTAAATCTAAAAAGTACTCGTTGCAGAAAAAAAAGTAAAAAGTAAATTTTTATATTTATAAATATTTATATATATTTTCTTCTTCTAAAATAGTATTACTAAATGTATTTTAGAAGCTAAAGTTGGAGACGTCCAGGATGAATAATTATTTATAATGTATTATTGGAAAATGTATTACGCATTTAATCTGATTGAATTAAATACCAAAGTACCACATTTCTTTACAATTTCTCTTCTTCTTCTGCATTTTTTTTACGAGTTGATATTTCCGGTTCCTCTAACCTCGCGCAGCTTGATGTGATGAAGCCCCTCAGTGGGCGGAGTACTGCGGTGTTTCCCACACTCTGATCCACCACGTGGAGCTCGGGATTTTCGCGGGATTTTTCTTTCCCTCGCACGTGATGACAGTCTGCGACTTCATCACACACACACACACACACACGCGCACGCACGCACGCACACACACACACACACACACACACACACACACACACATATCAATGAATCAATCAATATGAGTTATTTTTTAAAGTCTTTATTCTAATGTTCGTCTATGACGTGATACATGTAGGCAAGGCTTTTATTTTGATAGGAAAACGCCGGGGGTCTGGCGTGATTCTGACAGGGAGGGTTTTATTTTGAAAAACGTGACAGAAGAACACAACGCTGTGATTTGTATTAAACGAAAAAAGTAATTGTATTTCATTATGGAAATGATTTTAGTATATTCAGTCTTGAACAGTAATTGTATTTTATTCTGGAGGTGTGTTTTTTTTTTACAATAAATTGTGGTATACATAAGTACAATTTTGCAGTACTTGTACTTAATTTATTTATTTTTGTTTCTTTTACTCCAATACATTTTGGAAAACACTATTGTACTATTTTACTTAACTACATTTATTTTGCAGCTTTAGTTACTCAGATATAAAATACAATTAACGAATACATTATTGATATATAAATATATATTAATATATCAATTATTAGAATCTCGATACTTTTGTACATTTCAAAGGGCTTAACTTGTGTTAAAATTAAGGTCGCAATTAAATATAATAAAACTGAGGTATGATTATTATTGTCTATGAAACACTTTGTTTTTGTTTTAGCATAAACTAGTAGTGAAGGTTGCTTTTACAATATAGTAAATTATATATATATATATATATATATAGTATATAGAATATAGTATTTAGGTATCATAAGATTAAAGTTCAGCTGACATCTGTTCTGTGAATATGTTTTGTTTTCCCTTTAATTGAATGCCTTGTTGTTATATATGTATTTACATATGTGTGTATTCTTTATGGAAATGTTTAAATAAGGACATAATTAAATTACTACCATTACAATTACTTTTGCTTTAAATCTTGAATACATGACTTTTACTTGTAATATAATCATTTAACACTGAGGGATTACATTAAATAATAATAATAAAATAATAATATAAATAATTATAGTCAACAATTATATTATTAATAATAAAAATAAAAATGATATTTACAATAAAAAATATTTTTATAATAAAAATAATAATAATAATAACTACTCTACATTAAAATGTGTCCAGTGTTTATTCTGAGGTTTATGAATCAACGTGAAAATAAAAGTTACCTGCAGCTTTTTTTATTTAAATTGTATTAAGACTTTTACTTTGTTGAACAACAGGAAGTGCTATGACGCGCTCCGCCTAAACTTGACGCCGAAGAAGAAGGAAGGGGCGTGTCGCTAGCTTGTTAGCTCGCGTGCTAACTGCGAGTTATAGTTGACTGTCCTACTTTCACTTTCACACAGTCGGGAGTTCCTTCTTCAGGGCTTCTTCCTGGGAAACGAAACAAGACGCCGACATTTTTTCCTTCGACCCGCGTTAGATGAAGATGTTCAAATATAATCGGCATCGATATTAAAACTTGTAGCCGGGGACATCTAAAAGATTTAGAGCTTTAAAAACAACCAGGTAGCGTTACTTCAGCAGCTAACGCTAGCATTGCTAGCTCCAGCGGCTAGCAATGGACGGCGGCGGCGGCGGAAGCGTGAAAAGTACCGAGGAAAAGGGGGCAGAGAAACTAATGGACGACTACCTGAAGTCGCTCGGTCTGCATCGGAAGAAGATCGCCAAAGACGGCTCGTGCTTGTTCAGAGCTGTCGCGGAGCAGGTGAAGTGTTACAACTGGTAGAAAAAAATCTAGTTTACAACAAACAAACGTGGGCTTGGTCTGTTTGTTGTGCTCGTGTGAGCTAACAAGTGTGTTGTAATGTTAGCCGAATGAAAGCTAGCATTAGTAGGAAGGCTGTGAGCTGAGCTCAAGAGATAAAAGTAAACATTTATAAACTATAACACGTTAATACTCTTAAATCAGCAGCTTTTTAATGGAGTTCTGAATGAAACATACAGTAGTTAAGGGCTCAAGTTTTTAAAACAAACGATACATATAAATGATACATTTAACATGTTGTGTTTGAATATTAACGGTTATTAACTGTTGTTGTGCTTTATTGTCTAGGTGCTGCATTGCCAAAGTCTTCATACTAAAGTTAGAGCGAAGTGTGTGGAGTTCCTGAAGGAGAACCGAGAGAGTTATGAGGCTGTAAGTTCACTAAAACCTCCCCATATATCAATAAAGTATATATATGAGGCTGCAAGTTCACTACTGACACCAGAACAGTGTTTATACACTAAAACCTCCTCCTATATTAATAAAGCAGCTTTATTTAGGATCAGAGAGGCGTGTGAGTGTTTATATTAATGAAATAATTATTGTTTTTATTTAGTCTGAAGTGGATCAGGTGGTATTTTGTCAAAATAAGAAGTGCACACGCTGTAATGTACTCAGCCTCTCATATGTTATGTGGCAGAGAACACGTTTAAAAAGCAAAATGTTGATTAAATAAAACTGGTCCTTCAAAATATAAAACATTAAAGTAGTTGTAATTAATAGAAAATCTTTGAGTTTTACACGGTTTTAAATCAAAAGTAGTCGCATTTGATTTTTAAGAAATTTATAAAAGACCTTTTTTGAACTTTTCTGATATTTTATGAAACAAAACAAGACATTGAGATGAATCTATTCGGACAATATTTAATATTTACAAGCCTAAAGGTATTTTATATACTTTCATTTTAACAAAACATCGATACTAAATGTTTTTCAGTGACGTGTAGCTGAGAGTCAACAGTTTATCTGCATTTGTTTCATAGCTGAGGTTGACAGTGAACTGAAAGTAAAGGTTTGAGTCTTTTAGTTTTAGGATGGATATAAAATCAGAGCCTCACCTCGCCCTCCAGCAGGGCCTGACTACATCTCCCAGAATGTAGTTCAGCATGTTTTAGAGCCGGTCTGTGAGCTTCAGTAGATCTGAGAGGGTGTGACTCACAGGCAACGAGGGTTTGTGATCTGCAATGCATTTTTTTTTAAGTCTTTTTACTTCCTCTCGTATTATATTGATTTCTCCTTCTTTTACTTTCACACCAAACATGGATGTTTACGGCTAAACTTCAGAGAATTTAAATATTTTCTCTAATCATTTACATAAAACTGTCGTCATTTTCGTCAACAGATAATTCAGATAAATCGGAGCAATAAGTAAATAAAGTAATTCGGCAGCAGGTTATTGATTTACTTTATCATATAAATGATCATTCTGCTGTTATTTTATATCTTTTTTTATGTCAACAAATCCCTTAAAAAGACCAAAACCAACAATGTGTTATTTCGTCTCTAAATACTTTCTGACTCTTTAATTTTTGTTAAATTCTTTCCTACGTTTTTGAAACAAAAGTCATTAAAATAAGTCTGAATAATTTCCTGAAACTGAAGTTTTTAGTAAATATTTCAGGAGAAAAATATACATTTATTTATTTTTTATTTGCTTCCACCAAGTGGTCCATAGTATGTTTTTAGGGTCCACTTAAAAACAATTAAAAATCACGCAGTAAATTAATAAAGCAAGTAAAGGCAAAAACAAAAAAATCTGATTGATTTATTTTTTTTTTTTTTTACCGTTTGAAGATTCAAAGTGACGTTACATATTGTTTTATTGATAATACTCATGACGTCTGTTGTGTTTCAGTTTATTGAAGGAGACTTTGAGGATTATCTCTTCAAGCTTCAAGACCCTCAGGTAACACAGAACCACAGACGTCCTCATTAATAAATTAAGTATTCCATGAAGAACTCAGAACTCTATTATCATTAAAGTGACATTAGCGCTGCGCTCTGTGTTTACAGCAGTGGGTGGGAGAGGTGGAGATCAACGCGCTGGCCGTCATGTACAAGTAAGACTCTTCTTCTTCTGTGGTGGTTTGACGTATTTCCACGTGAAACAGGAAGTCGACTGAAAGTCGGATGTTTTACAGAATAAAGTTTGTCTTCGTTCTTGGAAATAATTCTTTTTAAATGTTTCTGTACTCTGCAAACAAACAGAAGACGGTTATTTGTAATAAAAACCTACGACGGGACGGCTGCTACTTTTAAGTATCTAACGTTGTTTATCTTTGTGAAGGAAAAGTGGATCTACATCGAGAGTTTGATGAAGAATCCGTGTCTTTATTCCTTCATATTTATTGAGTTTAAAGTGTTTATTTGTGTTTGTCGTTCTGTAGGAGAGACTTTCTGATCTTCCAGGAAGCCGGAAAACCGGCCGTCAACATCACAGACAACAACTTCAAAGACAAGGTAAGAAGAAGAAGACACACTTTAATGTTTCTTCTGTCGGTCAGTTTATTAGTTCAGCTGCAATAAATTCCATCATTATGAAGATTATACATTCAGCTCTTTGAGGATTATAATTTATAGATAAGAGATGTTATATATTTAAGAGTTTGGACACTTTTGAATTGATCATTTCTAATAAGGTGATTTAGTAAATGAACAGAAACTGAACATTAGTCTTTATTGTTTCTCTCTCAGGTGCGGTTGTGTTTCCTGAACGGGAATCACTACGACAGCGTTTATCTCGTCAGCCACATTAAAGGAGCCGCTCTCTGTCAGTGTGAGTGTTTGACTTCAGATTCGTTCATGGATTTTTAAGACGTCTAGTTTCTAGAGCCTCTAAAAACAGAGCCTCCTTCTGTGTAAACTCCCGACATGAACCATAAACTAACCGCGTGTCTTCTCCGTCAGCCATCTTGTACGAGCTTCTGTACGACAATGTGTTCCAAGTGGACCGGTCCTCTCTGGGTTCGTGTCAGCGGATGAGCCGACCGGCCGACCTGCTGAGTGACGACAGCATGAACGTCTGCCTCAGCAGCGACGACTCGGACCTGGACGCTGGAGAGCCGCTCTGGTAGGTTATTGATTAGTTACTAACAGCTAGCAGTGAGGATATACTTTATACTTTGTGTACTTGGCTTTTTACTCCTGTTTTGCTGCATTAAAAATCCTTACACTTCAATTGTAATTCATATTCATTTTGAAGGTTTCTTTCTACATTTATTATTTTAATTGATAACAATTCAGTAACTGTGTATTAATGTATTTGTTCCATTTAAAAATAATTGATTTGTTACTTTGTTGCCACATGAAACTGATACAACGAACAGAATCTAAGGCTTTCTTATCAGATATTGGTGACAATATACTACATACATTATGTACTTATGCTATATACTTATACTACATACATTATGTACTTATACTACTGTTTGTTTTTTAACTATTTTATTGCGTCATTAAAAAGATGTGAGATTAAATTATGGTGAAGATGTTTTGCAACATTGTTGGTGAACAATTTATTATTTTGATAGATAATTATTCAGTAATTTTATGTATTTATTAGTTGCAATTATTTTTAAAGGTAAGAAAGTTATACATTAAGTCCAGCCTGATGTTTCTGACACATTTAGTATTGATCTCAGTCACTTCCACACACTGAGAAACGACTTATTGATCAAACATCTGATCGATACTCCAGCTGATTATACATATTAGTACTTCAGTGAGGTTTGGAAAACACCACTTTTACGTGAGTATTTCAGTGTAGTATTAGTACGTTTATCTGAATACTCATGTGTTTTTTTTTCATGATGCAGGGTTGAAAATGGAACGAGCACGACGACTACAAGATACAACCAGAGGGTAAAACATTAACCCTAACCCTACACACACCTCTACTTTAAAAAAACCTTATAGTGAATCTCTCTCTCTCTCTCTCTCTCTCTCTCTCTCTCTCTCTCTCTCTCT